CTGACTTTATACAAGCTGGAACTGATTCTGTGGTACCTAACAACACTAGCAAAGAGAAACTTGGCACCCCTTAAGCTTGACTTTCCATTTCCTCCTCCTTCCAGTCCTTGGTGGTGGTATGTGTGCCTTTTGGAACTGACCCATAGAGGCTGTTAAATGTATGGGAAGAGATTGCCCATCCTCTCGCAGAGCATCTGGTGTCCTTGAACTGCGTGCCTTTGGTATTTCAGTGCAGCTTCTTATTAGTAGGCCACAAGAGCTCTTTCTAGTACCTGGTTGTTGTTCTTACGTTCCATTGAGTTGCCTACAATTCATAGCAACCCTACCCTGTCCTGAGCCAATCTCATCATCTCCAACACCTATAATCCCCTTTCTCCAGTCACTGAGTTAATCCATATTATCTTGGGTCTTCCTCTCCTGTGCTGTCCCTCCACCCTTCCAAGCATGATGTCTTCTCTAAAGACTGGTCCCTTATGGCCACATGCCCAAAGTACATGAGATGGAGCTTTAAAATCCTTGCCTCCAGGGAGCAGCCTGGTTTCAGCCTCTCTAGGATGGACCTCTTTTTTTTTCTCCTGGTAGTCCACAGTTCAACACTTTTCCAGCACCACAACTCAAAGGCATCAATCCTTCTATCATTCTTAGTTAATTTCCATCTCTCTGATGCATACATAGGAAGTAATTGCAAAGACCATGGCCTGGATCAGGCACACCTTAATCTCCAGACTGATAAAATTTCTCTTCAGTACTCTAGAGAGGTCCCTGACAGCCAACTTTCCCCAGTGCACTTCATCTTTTGATTTCCTGACTGCTGGTGCCAAGTGTTGATTGTAGACTCAAACAAGCTGAAGTTACCAACAATTTCAATCTCTGTCCATCATGAAGCTGCCAACCGGCCCATTCGTGAGAATCTTTGTTTTCTTAATGGTAAACTTAAAATCCATATTGAAGACTACAGTCCTTGACCTATGCAAACTTCTTGTCCTCTCCACTTTCAGCAAGCAAGGTTGTGTCATCTGCATAACACAGGTTGTTGATGAGTCTTCCTTCATTTCTAATACCACACTTCTCATAAAGCCCATTCTCCCAAATGATCTATTCTGCATTTAGATTGAAATAGCATGAAGATGGGATGCGTCTTGACACGCACCTTTTTGTGTTTCCCTTCTCTGTTCTGATGTTGATGCTCTGCCTGGTTGAAGTGTATGTTTCAAATGAGCACAATCAAGTGTTCTGGGATGCCTGTTTTTCTCAAGGTTAGCCATAATTTGTGATCCACAGTCAAATGCCTTTGCATAGTCAATGAAACATTCCTGTGGTACTCTCTGCTTTCAGCCAAGATCCATCTAACATGGGCTATAGACCAGCCTGCACATCTGCTGATGTACTTAACTGTTCCAGTAATTTCTGGATAATTTCTGATGTACTTAACTGTTCCAGTAATTTCTGTGGCAAGATCTTGCTTGTATATATGAGTGATATCATTTGATCATTTCTACACTCTGTTGGGTTACCTTTTTTTAGAATAGGAATAAATACAGATTTCTTCCAGTCAGTAGTTGTCCAGATATCTTGGCACAACCTGTTGATTGTGTCCAGGGCAACATCTGTTTTCTGAAATATGTCAGTTGGTATTCCACTAATTCCTGGGGCCTTGTTTTTTGCCAGTTCCTTCAAAGTAGCTTGGTACTCACTAGTAAATTTTTTTTTCTGTATGCATTTTTCTTTTTTTATCTTTAAATGGTATTTCACAATATTTGTCCTTTGCTATCTGTTCTTTTTCACTCAGCATGTTTTCACAACTCATGCTTGTAGCCATTTCATTTCTCTTAACGACTCGAGAAACCCCAAGACCATCATCCTGTGAGACACACTTTAAACTGAACAGAAACTACTGTTGATCACTTTTGAGTAAATGACAGATTGATACATCAAATACCAACCATAAGTTCTGAGCTTTCAACATTTACCCTGAAGCAAGGATGAGAATGTAAAAGCTTGGTGGAGAGGAAACAACTATCAGAAGTAGTTACTACCAGAGTAATAAGTATGTTGACACATTGTGAAAAATGTAACTAGTCATTCAACAAGGTATAAGAAATTTTCAAGTGGGAAATCAGCTTGCTAATAAACTCACCCAAAGCACTAAAAAAAGAAGTCCTAAGAACAAAACTTTGAGCCTTCGAATCCAAAGTAACGATCCATAGAACTCCAAAAGCATTGTTCCTCTTATATTGCTTTTTGCCCTTAGGTTTTTATTAAAATGGTTTGTGTACATGACAAGATGGCCAAAGATGGAAATCAGGGTTTTATTGATGGTTTAACTCCAGAATTGAGAATGGTAGGTGATGCAGAGTAGTATAACATTAGTTGCCAGTGAATTTATTCCAGTTAGGAGGAACACACACGCTACAGCATAGGATGACTCCATAGTTTCTCTTGTCTGTATTAGTTACTGAAGCAGAGTGCCTTTCTTTTGTGGTTGTCTCTTGAGTTTGAACTACTAACCTTTACATTAGCCTTTCTTTCATTATCATCAAGTAGGACCCAAACCCTCCAGCAGGTTTCTGATTCCACAAACCCTTCATTTCTTCTGAAATGGAATCAGAAGAGCCACCACCTTTAGGTTAGCAATGCAACTCCCAGTGGTCTAGGCTACCAGAGATCTTTTTGATACGTTGTTAGGTGCCCTCAAGTCAAGTAGACTTACTGTATGCAGAACAGATCTGAAACATGCCATCATCATAATCTCTGACACACTCAGACCCATTGCTGCAGTCACTGTCAGTCTGCCTGGTTGAAAGTTTTCCTATTTTTGCTGCTAATCCATATTTCCAAGCATGATGTCCTTGTCCAAGGAATACCTTCTCCTAGCAATACCCAAAGTATGGGAGACAAAGTTTTTCATCCTTGCTTCCAAGGAAGATTCTGGATAAACCCTCTTTCGGCAGTCCATGGGATGGACAGTCTCCACCACCACCACAGCTCAAAGGCATGCATTAATTCTGTCATTAATATCTGTCATTCTTTAGATTTGTAGTGAACACAAACCATGCCACCAGAGACCTACTAAAGCTCTGAAATATCAGTAAACGGAGACTATACAAGCTTGGTGGCCTAATGATAAGAATATGTGCTGCAATCCTGAAGGCACGTAGTTCAAATCTGCCAGCTGCTCAGTGGGAGAAGGACAGTCTCCTGTTAAGATTACTGCCTTTGAAAACCTGGAGGGTAATCAGCACACCTTCTGGAGGGTCAGGTATGGGTTAGTTCCAACTCTGGTCCATAACAAGAAGGGAGCTCTAATAGCTAACCCGACAGGTGGGTTTCCAGAGGCTCTAATCGCGCAGGAGATCTTTCTCCCACAGAGCAGTAGGTGGATTCAAGCTGTGTTTCTTTGGGTTGACAGTGCAACTGGATGGTTTAGGATAGGGCAGGGTTCAGATGAGCTGTTCATAAGGTCGTTAGGAGTCTTATGCTACTCGAGGGCACCTAACTACAACCACAAGGAAGCTGTGGCTCCCTGTTATTGATATGTGCCCCTGAGTCGCTTGCAACTCATAGCTCCAAAGCCTGCCTTGTCCTGAGCCAGTTTCACAGACTCTGACACACCCACCCTGTTCCCCATTTTCTGTATCCATCCATCCATCTCATCCGGGGTCTTCCTCTCCTGCACTGTCCCTCCACCCTTCCAAGCTTGTTCTCCTCCAAGGACCGGTCCCTCCTGTCCACGTGCCTAATAGAGTATGTGAGCTGGAGCTTCAAAATCCTAGCCTCCAAGGAGAAACTTGGTTTCACTCTCTCCAAGACAGACTTAACTTGCTTTTTTGGAGGTCCATGGTATATTCAAGACTTATCCGGCACCACCTCTCAGATGCATTCATTGCAAGTAATTGTGAAGACCATGGCCTAGTGGTAAAGAAGTTACGCTGCCAACCGAAAGGCACGGTGGTTCAAATCCGTCAGCTGCTCTGTGAGATAAAGATATGCAATCTATTAGGCCGTTTACTGCCTCTGTAAACCCGCTGGAAAATAAGCCATGAGTTGGCACACAACAGCAATTCCTAGATATACTGGTTAGAATGTCAGTTGTATCTAGATCCTGAAAGTGGACTCTTTTATGAGATTAAATTCCTGAGGGCGCCTCTGCTTACCTCCGCTTTTCCAGAGTAAGGAGCTGGAGTTTAGCTGGAAGTATAAACAGGGAAAAGTTCGCGAAAGAAAAAATCCTTGAACTCAGCCATTGGTGGATGACCGAATGCATAGGCTTGGCGGCCAATCAATGACCCGGAGAGGCGAAGGGGACTTACGTAGACGAGGCGTGGTCTCACGTAGGGCACGGTGTGGGCGGGGAGAAGGGGGGCACGCCCGTCGGGGGGCGGGGTCTGCGCCGCGCGGGAATCTGCGCGCGCGGCAGCGCGAGGTGGCGGCCCCTCTGACTGATTGATCGGGCTTCTTAGGTGCGCTTCCAGGGTGCCTACCCCGGCTTCCCCGCGGTGCTCCCGGCTGGAGAGGGCTCGAGCGAGGGTGAGGGGCCCTCGCTATGGGGTGTGGGACCCGGGGGTGGAGCTAGGTAGCGAGCGTTTGGGCACCCGGCCCTGACCTGCGCAGCCTCTTCAGCCACAGCCTATTTTGGTCTTCAGGGCCGAGAGCCTTGTTTTGGGGAATGGGGTCTCTCCCTCCCCGCGATCTTGCCACCTTCATCCTTAGACCTTGCCTTTGATTTTCGGGGCGCGCCCTCCAACTCCCATAAAAGGTCACGACTGCCTCTACCCGGGGGTTTCATTGTGCTTTTCCGGCTGAAGCAGAATTAACAACTTTTCGAAACTGGGCTCAGTGACTCTTTGCATGTGGGACCTGGGAAATGTTCCATAAGATGCCAACGTTAACATCTTTGCTCTAAATAAGATACATTTTAAATGATTAGCCCAGTTCTTGACTCATTATAAGTTTTCAGATGTTTGCTTGCTGTAATGTGGTGATTCAGTTCATCGCCCACCTTTTCCAGATTTCTCCTGTCGTTGGACAAAGAACTGTGCTTACTCGCGGAATTTTTTACCCTTTTGCGATTCTGGAGGATGAAAGTCATCACTTGTGAAATAGCTTGGCACAACAAGGAGCCTGTATACAGCCTGGACTTCCAGCATGCGACAGCTGGGCAGATCCATAGACTCGCCTCCGCAGGGGTGGACACCACTGTGAGGGTAAATGGGGCAGACACAGAAGACCCCCAGAAAGCCCCACTTGATGCAGCCTGCTTCAGTCCTTTATTTAAAACTAATGTTTACAAACTGTTATGATTATCTAGTCCTTAAGATGATTAGAATACAATTTCCCCAGTTTGATGTAAGAGTCCCTGAATGGTTCATCCCAGTTACCACACTCAGCTAGCTGCTAAATGAAAGGTTGGAAGTTCAGTTCACACATACAGATGCCTTGGAAGAAAGGCCTGGATAGCTACTTCTGAAAAATCAGCTATTGGAAACTGGGGAGCACAGTTTTACTCTGATAGGCATGTGATCACCATGAGTCAGAGTCTACTGATGTTTGTAACTGGTGGTAAACTGATGAAGTAGGATGCTTCCTATTTTAGAGTCCTAGACCAGGTGCCAATTCCTGAACTATTTGTTTTAGAAAGAGTAGGCTAGAGGGACTATTGGTTTATTTCTAATAAAGAGGCACCTTCATTTATATATATATGGGTAATACTAGAATTTTCTTTTTGAAATAGGCTCATTGAGCAATAGTGTTGATAGCTTGCTCAGTACAATAGCTGCTCAGTATGTGTTTCTCTTCTAATGGATGCTTTGGTATGAACAGATCTGGAAAGTCGAAAAAGGACCAGATGGAAAAGCCATTGTGGAATTTTTGTCCAATCTTGCACGTCATACCAAAGCTGTCAACGTTGTGCGTTTTTCTCCAAATGGTGAGATCTTAGCATCAGGAGGAGATGGTGAGTGTTGATCTTCAAAGTTTCTCTGGAAATTTTTCTCTTTCATTCTTCCTGTGAAATAGGGAGATTTGAACTTATTATTTTTCATTTAGATAATTGAGTAGACTCAAGTTCTGGGGCGTGTGTCAGAGTGGGGGGTGAAGGACAGCAGCATAAGCAGAGAACACCTGTTACAAGGTTGACTCCTTCTTCTTGCTCCCACTGAGATGGTTTGGAAACAGAAAGGAGAGGTACTTGCTGTCCAAAGGCAACCATTCTGACCTTGTTTAATGGTTAATTTAGTATTTGTGGTGATCAGAGCTTTGTCCCCATGTGATTGACTAATTAATTAGCTGGCCTGGGAACTATCTTCTAAATGCTCTGTGTTAGTGTGTATGTTTGTTTTACTGTCGATGTAAACCAACTGGAGGGTCCAGCTATGGTTCAATTCTGACTCGATGGTACACAACAACAATATGAAAACAAAAGAAAACAAATCTTATTTTTTGTTAGGAGAAAAAGAGACCTGGTTGAGTTTAGTACTAGCATGTCCACGTTGTATGTATAAAGAAAAGGTGGGGAATGGGGAACATCCCCTGGGCAAGGCCAGCAGGTTTTCTCCTGGGAAGTTACTCAGGACTCCACTTGTTTGCAAAGTCCCCTACTTTTAGTCAACACATGCAGAACCTTTCTACCTATGAGAGCCAGTCTTTAAACCAAGCTCAAGACTAACCAATGCAACCACAATTCCAATTTAAGCTTGTATTTATATATTTAACTTGCTGTATCACTTTTGTCCTGTGGGTATTCCTAAATGGGAAGCCAAATGATAATAAGATTATATAGTGAGTGTGGAATCAGAATGGAGGATGTTAGGGGGTCTAGAGGTCTAGACAGTTGAGGGCAGTAGGCTAAGCTATTCGGTGCATCCATAATTAAGAGGTAACACATACCATGTACCAGGAATCATGCTGTAAGTTCTCTATGCCTGTTAACTTATTTAGCCCTCTCAGCAGTCCTCTGAGGCATGTATATTATTATCATCTCTGTTTTATAGGTGAGGAAACTGAGGCATTAGGACCTTAAATGACTTACTTAATATTCCATAGGATTGATTTGTCAGTAGTTGCATCAGTGATTCTTTGGTTTCCTCCCTTCTTTTTAGCCATTTATATGTATATGTTGTATCTTTACATTCTGTAATATAGTTGGGTATCTTGCAGTGATCTTTTATTAGTCAGGAGATCTTCAGTTTAAAGTGACTTTGTGTAACTCTGATCTGGTGTAAATTTTATTTTATTTTTGAAAAGGAGAGTCCCTGGTTTGTACAAATGGTTAAGCACTTGACTACTGAAAGACTGGCAGCTTGAACCTTCCCAGAGACTTTGGAAGTCAGGTTTGGAGACTTCTTTCTAAAAGGTCACAGCCTAGAAACCCCATTGGAACAGTCCTACTATCCATGCATGAGATTGCCATGAGTGCAACAAGAATTCGATATTCCTGGCCCAAACTCTTTGAAGTAAATCTTGATAGCCGTTGTGTCTCTTGAACAGCATAAATAATGTACAGGAATGGAAGCATTTCTCTAAAGTGTGACTTATCTCTAATGAACCATTCTCCAGATGCTGTCATTCTGCTGTGGAAGGTGAATGATAACAAGGAGCCGGAACAGATTGCTTTTCAGGATGAGGATGAGGCTCAACTGAATAAAGAGAATTGGACTGTTGTGAAAACTCTGAGGTGATGTGCTTGGCCGTGAGACTTTGTGATTTGATGCTAAGATCTGGATACATTGACAGGAATATGCATCTTGATGTTTATATCTCATTGAGAACTTAATCAGAACAGTCACTAGCAAATACCTTCAAAGAATAAAAACATGATTAAAATGGATTTTCTTAGTTTCTGGTATAAGATTTTTCTTAGTAAAACTGGTAAGGTTTTAAAGATAGGCATATCCTTGAAAGTGATTTCTAGTAGAAATTTCCAAAATTTGCCTTTACAGTTTTTGAGAGCTTTTTCTCCCCTTTAATTTGGATTTTAGGGGTCATTTGGAAGATGTATATGATATTTGCTGGGCGACTGATGGGAACTTAATGGCTTCTGCCTCTGTGGATAACACAGCTATCATCTGGGATGTCAGTAAAGGTAATGATTTTTTTAAAAATTTACTGCTGGGAGAAGGAATAGTCTAAACATCTAAAAATGTTAACCTGCTTTAACTATGAAGACAAGAAGAAACACTTCTTGAACTAAAATATAAAATAAATGCTTTAGGTTCAAGGGGGAAATTCCACCTGCCATGGTTCCAGCTCATCTCTCAGATCGTAAATCAGAATGTTGTGTTGTGAGCTGCTGGTGCTGAAGCAAGGCCAGCCGCACAATAAGGACAGATGTGGTTCCTGCCTTCACGAGCTTATTATCTCAGGAGGATTAACAAGTCATTGTAATTAATGAGCATTGAGTGATAGTTGACGAGACAGGTCAGATTAGGCTTCTGTTTTAAGAGATGAAGGGACAGCCTCTCAGAGGAAAGGATGTTCTGTTTGTAGAGAACCTGTTCCCTTTTTGTAGCCATTGTGCATCTTGTACAGCCGTCACCTGTCCATCAGTAGAGGCTTTCCTGTTGCAATGATGCTGAGCAGGTTTCAGCAGAACATCCAGACTAAGATGGACTAGGACGAAGGGCCTGACAATACACTCATGAAAATCAGCCAGTGATGTGTTCACCAGCTGATCTAGGGTAGGCTCAGGACCCTTTTTCCTTCCCTTGTGCCTGAGTAGAGTGCTGACTTGACAGTATCTTAACAACATTCTCCTACTGGAGAGAGAGGGATGTATGAGAAGTAACACAATACTGGAAGAAATAGGAGTGAAATGTTTAAAGTTAGTGTGTGGTGACTATCTTTTTCCCCCCTTGCAACTTTTATTAAAACTTGTTTCCCCCCCTTTACCCAAACTCTTTCCTCCACTGCCTTCTTAATGTGCCCACTCGTGATTTTCCCACACCCCGCGCGCCCTGCAAGGAATCAGGAAGCAGAGTTGAAGGTCTCCTCTGCCTCTGCACTGCATCTGTCCATCTTGCATTTTTTCTTCTAATATCTCTGTTTTTTTTAGTTCTATGTCATCTAACTAGGCCATCCTCTGTTCTGCTTCTCTGTCATCAGTTTTCAACATTCTGCAAGGTAGAAGAAATCCAGTACCACTGCTACCCTTGACCCCAAATTGGGCTGTCATCTTGAATAATTTCAGAGTCCATGTGGACAATGCATCCAGGAAATGGCCTGTCTTGCTCCCACGGTACTACCTTTGGGTTGGCAGCATAAACTCTTTACCCATTAGGCCACCAGAGCTTCCTTAAGTGAATAATTTAGGGACCAATACTGTCACAGAGGTTGTGAGAGGCCAGAGCACAGAAGGTCTAATAAACCATGGGAAGGCATAGATGTTATTCCAGGTGTAATAAGATGTCACTGAATTGTTCTGAACAGGAGATTGAACTTGTTTACGTTTTAAAAATATCTCACTGACCACCATTAAAAAATTGAATGGACAGGGGAGGTCAGAGGAAAAGAGGAACAGAATGGCTTGATAATGAATACAGCTCTTATCTTTGAAGGGAAGGATTATCTGAAAGGGATGGATGATTATCATGTAAGATACATATAATTATGTATGACACTTAACAATCTAGAACAAGACATAAATTTCAAAGTGAACTGGGGAGGCAATAATCATGTGTATCGGTGAATGAATGAAAACCCTTCTTTTCTGTAAACTTTATGTAAACTAAAATCACAATTAAAAAGTTTTTTTTTAAAAATCTCACTGAGTCCTTTGGGGAGAATAGACCATAGGGGACATGAGACAAAACAATGAAATTTATTAGAGTAACTCGGGGGACAGGTGATAAAGGCTTGGGCTATGATGGTAGTGATGGCATTTTGGATGTTCAGTTTGGGATAGATTGGAATAAAGAGGTTACACAGTTTGATGCTTCTGGGTCTAAGCAACCAGGTGAATATTGGCACAGTTTTCTGAGATTAGAGACACCAGGAAGAGGGGACGTTATGGTGGGGCATATGGAGGGCAAGACCCCAACCTACACCTCTGTCATGTTAACCACCAGGTGGTGATGTCATGGTGATTGTCCTGTCCACACCCAGATCTCTTCTTCCGGTTCTCTCAGCACCTTTGCTCACTCTACTTCCTTCAGAATCCCAAGTTCTTTATTATTCTTATTCCAAGATGGCTCTGATTCAGGCCATGGTCTTTTTCTGTGCATCTGAGAGCTAGACAGTGAGTAAGGATGACAGAAGAATTGATGTCTTTAAACTGTGGTGTGGGAGAAGAGAACAAACAGATGTCTTGGAGAAAGTACAGCCGAGTGTTCCTTGGAAGCAAAGATGACAAAGCTTCGTCTCACATTCTTTGGGCATGTAGCGAAGAGGGGCTATTCATTGGAAAGGGGCTTCACATTTGGAAAGGTGGAGGGTCAGGAAGGGGAGGAAGACCCTCAGTGAGAAAGATTGACACAGTGACTACAGCAGTGGGCTCAGGTGTGAGAGACGATGACAATGGCACAGGATACGACAGGGATCAGTTCTATTCATAGGGTCATTATAGATTGTACTTGAGAGCATTTAACAACATTACCCCTATTCAGCTTCCTCATTGAGGTTGACTGTACACCAGCATAGCCAATACAGCAGTCCCATTTGCTTCTGTCATATCCACCAAGGCAAACCCCAGTCCTTGATTGGTGTTAATAAACCTTCCTCACCATCCTTAAGGAGTCTCAGTATCCTACACCCTTTTCACTTTTCAGATCCCCTTGCTATTCTTTTCATTAGCTGTTTCAAACCTCTACAGATCTCAGGCCTGTTAGTGTTCCCAGCCACCTTAATTGAGATCAAGCTGAGGTTGACTCCCTGAAGAACTTGAAGAAGGAGCGAGTAATGACATTAAATGGAACAGAAAAAGCATGGAAGTGAGACTGAGGTTTTAAATGAGTCGATTACTGACTCTTTTACAGTTTAGTAGTTTTAGTGAGAGCAAGTGGTGGACAGCCCCCAAAAACCCAGCAGATAGATTATGGAAAGGGCGTGGTCACAGTATTTCTTAGAGGCAAGGATGGCGAAGCTTCATCTTTTGGAGTTGTAGCTAGGCAAGGCTGTCCCTTGGAAAGCAATATCATCCTTGGAAAGATAGAGGGTCAGTGAAGTTGTCTTTTACCCATGTATTTACTTAGAATATCCTTTTTTTCCCCTTCATGTGTTCTTTCATCCTGCCGAACCTGGTGAACTGAACTAACTTCTTATTCCTCTTTAACCAAACCCCCTACTTGTTTCAGTACCCTTGCTCCTCTTTGACCTTCTAGTATTTTCTGTGTTATGGTTTTCTCCCATTAAGCTGTGAGCTCCTTGGGGTCAGGATTTATGTGAAGTTGTCTTTGTGTCTACAGAATCTGGCATAGGATTTAGTGCAGAATCTCTCACTTATTACTTGCTGAATTCTTCCATCTCTTATAGAAATAAAAAAGTAAGGGAGCTCTGGTGGCCTACTGTCAAGAAGCTGCACTGCAATCCCAGAGGTGCATGGTTCAAATCCACCAGATGCTCTGCTGGAGACGGAGGGGCAATCTCCCCCTGTACCAATCAGATCCGATTTGACAGTACACACAAACTCTCTCTCTCTCTCTCTCTCTTCACACACACACACACACACACACACACACACAGAGAGAGAGAGAGAGAGAGAGAAATAATAGATTTGCCTGTAAGATTTCCAAAGCTATAAATCTTACGGAAGCAAACTGCTGCATCTTCTTCCTGTGGAGTGGCTGGTGGGTTCAAGCCACTGACCTTCCTTCAAGTTAACAGCCGAGTAACTACTGTTAACTACGTTAATTAACTGCTGCCAGGGCTCCTTCTGGGAGACTCTGCCCCTTTACTTTAAAATGATACGGGGAAAAAGCCAGAAAATTGGACCATTTTGACATTTAATAGCTATGCTAAAGAAACTGTTGTTTATAGGGTTGTTTATGGGTCATATTCAGTGGCACCTAACAAGAGCAACAACAGAGAAACTAAAACTAGAAGGGTGAGAGGAAGAAAAAAGCTTTTACAAATGGTCAGTATAAATCTTGTGTGTTTAGGTCAAAATACATGGGGCAAGTGGCTGAGATGGCCTGCTTTGCCTTCTGCCCTGGCTGGCCAAAGGTAGACTTCTAGTAGCACATAACCACTATTGCTAAAAGGTTCTGTACCTATAGAAACCTATTTTGAAAATACTTATTTTACACAGCAATTTTGTATTCCTTAAAACTAACCCTTTAGGGAGCTCTTGTGGTCTAGTGGCAAGAAGCTGCACTGCAATCCCAGTGGTATGCGGTTTGAATCCACCAGATGCTCTGCTGGAGAAGGAGGGGCAATCTCCTGCTGTACCAGTCAGAACCGATTTGACGGTACACACACACACACACACAAACACACACACACACAAAGATAATAAATAAAAAAACCAACTAGGAAAAAAACCCCATCCTAACCTTTTATCAATAAAGCACTGTTGTTTAGATATTTTAAAAAAAGGTAATACTATTTAAATTATAGCTCATACCATTTATACTTGAGTTGGTTTTGATAATGCTCTTGTGTGTTTTTATTATAGGACAAAAAATGTCAATATTTAATGAACATAAAAGTTATGTCCAAGGTGTAACGTGGGATCCGCTTGGCCAGTATATTGCCACCCTTAGCTGTGACAGGCAAGTCATCTTCACTTGTAATAATACAAATGCTTTTTACTTGAAATTGTCTGGAGAAGAGTTTCCATTTCAATTAAACCAATCTAAATCCTGGTCTGTGGTTCTTTCGTTCTTGTTTTGATATAAAGCATTTTGTTTCACTGTTGGTCTTAGAACAAAACAAGAAATTAGAAATGAATTAGGAAAAAAATGCCTTGACAGCCAAGTTAGTGTTTTACTAAGTTTTTATAGAGTGAATGCATGAATGTAGAAAGAACTTTATAACCTCTAAATAAACGTCAATTACATTCGAAATTCATGAGAGACTTTTAAACAAATGTCTTTTTAAGTGTGGACAAAAAAGTAGTCTACTGGCAGGAGCTATGCTGACAACCCCAAGGCATGCAGTCTGAAAGAAAGATGGACAGTCTCCTGTGTGATTTACTGCCTCTGAAAGCCTGCTAGAGCGTTAGTTAAGAGTCAGTTCTTAGTCCCTGTTTGGGTGCCTAAAAAAAAAAAAGACAGTTCTTACTTGATGGCACAAAACAACGATAACAACATTAAGTAAATATAAAACCATAAAGAATTTATGTTATTTCAAAAGAAGCTTTTGTTGTGTGTTTACTGGTATAATTACATTTAATTATGTGCCTGTGGCAAAGAGTTAAAAAACTCAAGAGTCACAGGTGTATTACTTAACAGTTGAAATGCTCCTTAATAAAATGATTTTTTAACGTTTATCATATTATTTTTATTAATAGGTTGACCTTAAGATGTCAATATAAGAGTCATTGTTTATTTTTTGTAGAAATTCCTATTATGTATTCCAGATGCTATTTGTTTTTTTGATATATATGTTCTCTTCAGTCAGGAGTAATATAATCTGATTGCCTTATTTGAATAATATAGATTATCAACAAGCAGATTTTCTTCTTGATATTTTCTTTATTCTTGCAAATCCCTGCAAATGAGATGGTTGAAAAGAAAGCTCTGCAGTCATACAGGTGATCACTAGGCTGGATATCAGGATCTTAAAAATAAAACTAGGCCTAATGTTCTTAAAAATAAGAACACTTGAGAAGTTGAAACATTTGCTTTAAAGAAAAATAAAATTTTGATCTTTTTCTTTAAGGTTGTTAAATTTGTTTTTTCATAATTAGTGAAATGTGAAAACCATTGGTAAATTATTTATAGGCTGAAGATCGTTTATGTGGTCTTCAGTTTTGCTTTCTATGTCTTTAGTTTGGGTAGTAGATGATTTCCATGTGAACCATCAAAACTGCCTGCCATGGAGTTGATTCCAATTAATAATGACCCTCCATCGGGTTTGAGGACCTCCCGCCCATCTTGCTCCCTTGGTGGATTCTGTCAGAGACATACGGCCTTTTGGTTAGCACTGTAGCATGTTATGACCTTCACCACCAGAGCTCTGAAAAGATGGGCAGTCTCCTCTTGTTAAGTTTTCAGCCTAAGAAATCCATTTTAGGGTCCCTGTGAGTTGGAACTGACTTGATGGCAGCAAGTGAGTGATGTGAAACATAATTCATTTCGCCAAAGTGGTAAATCGGATTTTGTTCTTTATTTAGGGTATTGCGGGTGTACAGCACACAGAAGAAACGTGTGGCCTTTAATGTTTCAAAGATGCTCTCTGGAATAGGGCCTGAAGGAGAGGTATAAAATGCTTTAGCTTTGCATTTCAGCTGTACTTTAATTGGGACTTAACGAGGAGCTCCTCCTTCATTTTTCTAGTTAGACAACTAGCCTCAAGCACAGGACTCCTGAGGGTTCATCTCAGACAGTGAAGGCCCAGCTGGGCTGTGGGCTGGTCCATAGCAAATGGGGAAGTCTGGGGGGGCAGAGTTGAACTAATGATATAGAACTGTTTTCTACTTTTAACTCCCCTGTGGATTACCTGGGATGCATTAAACAAATATGGACTTGAGTTGATTGGCATGTGGTCACTAAGGCCATGGGTCTTTTAGATCATCACGTGACACTAATGTAGAGTGAGGTTTGAGAACTTCTGGTCTAGGAAGATCCAGTATTAGGCAACAGAAAAGCAGATGAGTAGAAGCGCACAGACACATACACATCGATATAGACATACATGCACATTTACCAAAATGGATGATCAGCTTTAATGATTACTATTGCAGTCTTATATGAGTATTTAATTTATAATGGGTTTTAGTTTTTAGATAATAAATGAAAATATGTAAAGGAATATATGTAGGAATTGGTAAACCTTTCTTGTGAGTGCAAAGATTTGGGCAGTTTTGAAATTTTGTGTGCCCCAGGTGAGAAGTTACCGGATGTTTCATGACGACAGCATGAAGTCCTTTTTCCGTAGACTTAGTTTTACACCTGATGGATCTTTGCTCCTCACACCAGGTATCTTTTATAAAGTTTTGGGTTTGTTTTTTTTGTTTGTTTGTTTGTTTGTTTTACTGAAATGAAGTTTGTATAGCATATGTTAACCATATGAAAGTGTACAATTCAATTGCATTTCATATGTTCACCGTCTGGCCAACTATCTAGTTTCACTTAAAATCAGGCACCACATGGATGTCTATCACCGTTCTTGTCCAGCATGATCTTTGGGATGTTCATAAATCTAGGAAAATGAGAAAATAAAATTACAAAGGTTAAAAAAGATAAAGCTTTCTGCCTATAATAGAACTGCATTCATAAAAATATCTAGATGACAGAAGATGAAGTAAGCCAACTCAGTTAATGGCTCATAGAACTGCAAAGTAATATTTGTGGTGTAAGAAACAGATCTAATTATGTATGTGTGGTTATACACATATATGTACACACACAATGAGATTTTTAAAAGAAAAATGAAGAATTCGAAAAAAAAATGTGTATAAGAAAGAAATTCAAAGAAGAGCAAATATATTTTTGTTTAGCAAATGTATATTTATGGTCAGCACCATACATAGGAAACGTTTCTGAAACTTACTAATCATCAGGAAGATAAAAATTAAGGTTATGCAACAACTAGATCTCTTTTCATATTGCAGGGTGTGGTGGGGAGGGTCTGTTGATGATGAATATAAAGGTAATGACCATGGAAATGTGAATTGTTAACTACCTTTGGAAAAAGTTTAATAAGGTGAAATTCAAGTATCCTTAAATTCATTTGCCTTACGTCTGAGACTTCCTTAAGAAGTGAAAGCATAGTTTTTAAGTTCTGTGCTGTCAAATCTGAACCGACCCAAGTTTTCAGAGGCAGTAAGTTGCATAAAAGATTATCCATCCTTCTCCTGCAGAGCCAGCCGGTGGTGGATTTGAACCGCCTGCCTTACTGGTCATAAGAAGAAATGTTAAAAATTATTATCGTCAACATTGTTTCTGTTGTTGTTGTTGTTATGTGCCGTCGAGTCGTTTCCGACTCATAGCGACCCTATGCACAACAGCCCTAAACCCTGCTCTATCCTGCGCCAACCGCACTGCCTCTGACACACCCATCCTGATTACCCCAGTCACTGAATCGATCCATCTCATAGAGGGTCTTCCCCTCCTGCACCGTCCCTCCACCCTCCCAAGCATGATGTCCCTCTCCAAGGACCCGTCCCTCCTGGCAACATGTCCAAAGTATGTCAGACGAAGCCCCAGAATCCTTGCCTCCAAGGAGTAGCTTGGTTTAATCCTCTCCAAGATGAATCTGTTTGTTTTTCTGGCAGTCCATAGTACATTCAGTACTCTTCTCCAGCACCACAGCTCAAAAGCATCCACTCTCCTTCTGTCCTCCCTAGTCATTGTCCAACTCTCTGATGCATAACAAGCGATTGCAAAGACCATGGCCTGTATCAGGCACACCTTAGTCTCCAGAGAGACACTGTTGCTCCTGAGTACCTTTGAGAGGTCCCTAACAGCAGACTTTCCCATCGCGATACGCTTTTTGATTTCCTGACTGCTGGTGCCAAGAGTGTTGGCTGTGGAGCCGAGCAAACTGAAGCTGTGAACACTCTCAATCTCTTCGTCATCCATCCTGACGCTGCCAATTGGTCCAGTGGGGAGAATCTTTGTCTTCTTGACATTGAGCCTCAGTCCATACTGAAGGCTGCAGTCCTTGACCCTTCGCAGCAAGTGCATGAGGTCCTCCTCAGTTTCAGCAAGCAGGGTTGTGTCATCTGCATAACGCAGATTGTTAATAGATCTTCCACCAATCCTGATGCCACAATTCTCCTCATAGAGCCATTGAAAAAACAACTGTAAATCATCAAAGAGGTTGAGTAAACAAATTAGGATATTTTTATACCAATGAATATTCCACAGCTACTGAAATAGTGTTAACACAAGCTGACATTCATGAAGAGTACTTGGGGAGAAACAAAATAATATAAAGTATAAATAATAATTCATTTTGAAAGGAAGCTAGGTTGAGAAACAAAAAGCCCCCTGTTGTGTGTTTGTGTGCCAGCTCTTAGCTAGCTATGCAGAAAAGGTAATAGTTGAAGAAAAAGATACTATCTTGATACAAATAAGAAATGGTCACATGTAAAATTATATATATGTGTATATGTGTAAAGAAGTATTAACATAAAACAGGAATGTGTTTCTTAGAGCCACAAGGTCTGTCTTGGCTTTAGGTACAACTTAGAATGAATGGGAAAGAAGAGCTCTGATGGCTTAGTTTTAATGAGTTGCTCTGCCAACCCAAAGGTACATAGTTCAGATCCACCAGTTACACCACACGAGAAAGATGGGCTGCCTCTGAAAACTTGCCGGAGGGTCAGCAATGAGTTGATTCTGACTCGAGGATCCAACAACAGCAACAAGTAGGCTGTTCCTGGAGAGAGGTCAAGTTCTCCAAGGGCTGGAGATTTTAGCTGAAGGTTAAGTCTTCTGGACTCCTGGCTCCTCCAGGCAGATTGCAAAAGACTTTGGCTCTGATTTTGATAACAGCTAAGTTTGGAATGTAGGGATTAGAGAACCAGATGGCCAGGTGGACTCTAGGTAGCTGGATCTTGGAAAAGTGTTGATTGTGTACTGGACACAGGGAATTGGCTGTGTCCTAAAGACTATAAGGTCTTGTGTGTTAAGGGGCTCCCTGCTCAGGGCTGGAACTGGAACTGCAGGGAGGGAGAGCTCTTGCTGTGTTAAGATGGAGACCACAGGTAGAACAGCAGTGAGACCAGACTGACAGGTTTTCTCTTTGTTCCCAGTCACGGAAGCATTGTCCAAGGAATATATCTCTAGGACAAAAATATTTTACAAACAAAAACTGAATGCTCCTGTGTTTTTGTTGATTAACAGTTAATAATGCATTGACTTTCTTTTTTCCCCTCTCCCTTTTCTTGTTTTCTCAGCTGGGTGTGTAGAATCTGGAGAAAATGTAACAAATACAACTTATGTTTTCTCCAGGAGAAATCTTAAAAGGTATGCAACTGAGCTAACGTTTTGAGATGTTTACCCACTTTTGTTTCTGCCAACAGTGACTTTGTAAGCTGGTTTTTCTCTTAGGCCAATTGCTCACCTTCCGTGTCCTGGAAAAGCAACTCTTGCTGTTCGGTGCTGTCCTGTCTACTTTGAATTGAGGCCACTTGTGGAAACAGGTACAGTTAGAACAAGTGTGTTGGTAAATTTTTCTTTCTGAGTTAGGTCAACAGAGGAGGGAGTAGGGGATTTGGATTCTGTATCATGGGGAAAGGTGGATTTCTCTTTATTTTTTATTAAATTTTTTTAAATTTAATTTTATTATTTTTTTGTGTGTGTACCGTCAAATTGGATATGACTGGTACAGAGGAGATGGGCCCTCCTTCTCCAGCAGAGCATCTGGTGAAAGGTGATTTTCTATCTTTGATTCCATTTGTTGTTGTTACTATGTGCTGCCAAGTTGGAACCAACTCATAGTTGACCCTCCAGCAGGTTTTCAGAGGCAATAAATCACATGGGAGGAGATTGCCCATCCATCACTCGAGTAGCATCTGGTGGATTCGAACTGCTTGCCTTTAAGATTGGAGCTACTTATCACTAGACTTTCAGAGCTCCCATTGATTTCGTTTAGTCATTCTCAAATGCTGGGATAAGAATGATGACATAAACATATGTATTAGTATTTTCTGAAGTTCAGCATTTTCCTTATTTAAAGCAACTTAAAGGGAATTTAAATGCTAGTATTATTTTTGCTCTAATGTGGACTATCATTAATATTGATATTCCTGTGTAATAAAATTATGTATAAATTGGATTTTTGTTCGTTTTTAAATTTGCTGTTCCTCTGCTTTGAAGATTTTCTCTTTATCAATGACGAAAGCAGTGATTATGATGTTCCTTGGTGTGAGTTTCTTCATCGTTAATGTGCTTGGAGTTTGTTGAGCATCTTAGATCTGTAGGTTTCTAGCTTCTCCTATATTTGGAAATTGTCCTATTTTGCCACTCTACTCTGTATTCTACCACTGTACTTTATCCGTAAGCACTTACTGCAGAAGATTAGGCTAAAGTCTTCAATATGGATTATATCTCAACATTAAATAAAAATCCTTCCCCCTGGACCAGTCATGATGTAGAATAGATTGAGGTTGTCGATGATTTTATTTTACTTGGATGCACTATCAGCACCCATGGTAGTAGCAGTCACGAATGAAATCAAAAGGCATGTTGCATTGGGAAAACCTGTTGTTGAGAACCTCTCCAAAGTGCTAAAGAGCAAGGATGTCAGTTTAAAGACTAAGGTGTGCTTCATCCAAGCCATAGCTTTACAGCTGCTTCCTGCATATCTGAAAGTGGGACAACAAATAAAGAAAATCAAAGAAGAATATATGCCTTTGAATTGTGATGCTGTTGGTGTATTGAATATCCTGTGGACTGCCACAAGGACAAAAAAATCTGTCTTAAATGAAGTGCAACTGGAATGCTCCTGACAGGCAAGGATGGTGAAACTTTGTCTCACTTAATTTGGGCACGTTTTCAGGAGGAATCAGTTCTTAGAAATATCATGCCGGAAAAGGTAGGGTCAGCAAAAGAGAGGAAGATGCTCACTGAGCTGTATTGCCATGGTTACGGCACGGTGGACTGGAGCATAACTAAGATCGTGAGGGTGATGCAGAACAGGACAGAGTTCATATTTGCTTTTTAGAGGGTTACTATGAGTCATAGTCCACTCAGCGGAACCTGGAAATAGCAACACTCTCTTCTTCAGCGAGTCCTGCATTGTTGTTGAGTATTGTAGAGTCAGAACCGACCCATAGCTGTCCCTGCTGCAGATTTTCAGAGACAATAATTTGCAGGGGAGGAGACTGTCCATTGTAGCAAGGAGTAGGGCTGCCAACTCAAACGTATATAGATGTATGGTAGAGTCAAACATGTATATATACCTGTGAGGTAGTAACCCAAATCCTTGCTGCAGTGAGCTGTAGGATAATTCACAAGTATTAAACTGGTTGAATTATTCTAGCACACTGATTTTCTGTGTTTTTAAGTCTTCTTTTCTGTCATTGTTTTCTTTCTATACCTTTTTGAATACTTCTATAGCTATGCTCTGAGTTTAATAATCTTCACTTCTATTTACACTGCTCTTAGTTTCTTCTAGGGTATTTTTTATCTCAGCGTTGAAGTTTTCATATGGGAGTTTGATTTAAGTTATGTTATATTTATTCTACCTGTGTTATATGTTACATGTTATATGTCTACCTGACATCCTAACTCTTTCCTCTTGTTTCTTGGAGACATATAATACAGCAATAATTGAAAAAAATAATTCCCTTATTATTTATTTGCCTTCCTTTGTTCTATGTTTCTTCTCTTGCAGACAGTTCATCACAAGCGCCAAGCCAGGAGCTGATGCCACTGCCCTACCGCTTGGTGTTCGCTGTGGCGTCGGAGGACTCTGTGCTTTTCTACGACACCCAGCAGTCTTTCCCTTTTGGCTACGTGTCTAACATACATTATCACACCCTGAGTGACATTTCATGGTGAGCAGCATTTCATGATGCTTAGCATTTCATGCTGGTGTTGCCATTCCATCAGTGGAGGGGTTTGTGTGATGCTGTGATGCTTGAAGATTTCAGCAAAGTGTCCAGATTAAGGTTAGGAAGAAAGGCCTGGTGAGCTACTTCTGTCCATTCTCACCACATACGGGGTAACAAGTTGTGACGAGGAAAGGTGAGTGAGGGAGCTGGGCTGTAGGTTGCCATGGAATAAACCCTTGGGTTTCAGCATTAAAATTGGTCTTTTTCTGGCCCTTAGTTACCAGGTTTTTTTCCCCGGGGTATCAGCATCGAAAGAAAAACTGTAACTTGCCAGAATATTTGTTTCCTGTTTCAGTAGAAGTGGGGTTTGTTATTATTCACATTCCTCCATGAATGACATCTAATTCCAGTAACCAGAGGACAGTCCAATGGCACCTTGGCTGTCTGGGGACTTGGCAGGCCCTGCGCAGCTGCCTATGGGAGAAAGCCTACCTGGGGCTGCTGCTCGGGCAGGAGGGGTGATGGAGCGCCGAGTGGCCTCAGGCCACACCACCTTTCTGCGTTTGCCAGTTCCCTGAGTCGTTCCTTTGTTCCACGTGTGTCCAGTGTGAGCTCTAGCCAAGGTCTGCCCCTCACAGTCTGTGCTTTGCTCATCTTAAGTCTCTTTTAACTTAATTGTTTTCTGGCTTTGAAGAATGTCATCTCACCTTATTGAGAAGGTGAAATCTGATAGCCTTGAAGGTATGCTTTGCTGACTTAAAAAATCCAGTTGGAGTTAGCAAAGGAATAGGCATGGCTAAAGAGTTAGGACTCACTTTTTAGTTAGTCCACCCCCCTCCACTGATCTTTAATTTCACACAGGGTTTGTGATTTTGTGTGAGCTCTGGTGTGTTGTCACACCTTGTTTCTAACTCTTCTCTCCTCATTTGGGGAACAAGGTCCAGCGATGGGGCTTTCCTGGCCATCTCTTCCACAGACGGTTATTGTTCATTTGTGACGTTTGAGAAGGATGAACTTGGAATACCTTTGAAAGAAAAGCCAGTTCTGAGCTTGAGAACTCTTGATACAGCAAAGAAAACAAAGAGTCATACACACCAAGGATCTTCACCAGGGTCCAGATCGGTGGAGGGAACCCCCACCAGCAGGACCCAGGACTCCAGCAGTCCCAGCACCACCCCTCCTCAGGCCAAGCCTTCCCCAGCCCTGCCAGTGCTCAAGGACACACCCTCTATAACTCCTGGCCTCAAGGGCACCCTGCCGGGCTCTTCAGAGGAGAAGAAGACCCCACAGCCCAGCGGTCCTGGCACAAAAGCCCACCCACCCCGCAGGGTCACCCTGAACACGCTGCAGGCCTGGAGCAAGACAACACCCCGGTAAGAGCTGTTGACACAACAAGAAATTGTTATTGTATTGTAAGACACTAAGTAGAAACTGAAAATCCCAGCCTGTATAGGTGAGAGTCCATGCAGCTTGTCCTTCACACTGCTGCTCAGCAGTCTTTGTCATTGCATCTGCATGTACCTTTCTAGCTTAGAGACCTCTACTGGCTGCTTCCTACATCTAGGGTAATGTGCAGACACCTGTACATGGTGCCACAGAGACTGAGTGGTTGCAGCTTGTGGCTAGACTGTTGCCTCTCATCCGCCTGCTCCCATGAGCCTGTTTCCAGCCCAGAGCACACCCTGCCCTTTGAGCCTCTGTGCCTTTCCCCTCCTCTGGAGCACACTGTGTACTTCTCTCCTCAGGGACACCAGCATCCTCCTTTAGGTGGTCCCCGCTTCTACTTCCGGCCTGTGTCTCTGCCATAGCACACTGTCTTCCTTTGCAAGTGCTTCCCTACTAGAAGATAGCCAGCCCCTCAAGGACAGGAAGTGTGTCCTCCAGTCTCTGCTCTCTTCCCCAGGACAATAGCAGACACTTTACCACATGTAGGGAATTACATTTCGTAAGATTGTAGTTACCATTTCTACCAGACCAGTTCATAGTAGATGGTCCTTTATGGTTTGCTTATAGCTTTGTCTCCCTATTGATGCTGTAGTTGGTTCTTTCCCTGCTGTTGTCAGTCTGGCTGATGCTGGTGCCTGAGTTTGTTGTTCGCTGCACCAGGGGAACCAGGAACGCAGTGCTGCTGCCCCATCTCATAGCCCTGAGACTTCCTTTTCCTTGCAGCCTCTCCGATGTCTGTCCAGTTGTCTCCCTGACTCTACCTCCTTCTCCAGTGATCCCTGTACTTCCTAACCTTGTAAATGTACCGATTTGGGAGCTTTGTGAGGACCTAGTTACCTCGTGCTGCTCTGATAGAGATACCACAGGGGATAGCGTTAACAGTTTATTCTTAGAGTTTGGGAGGCTGGATTCTGTTGCTGGCTCTGGGAGAAGGCTCGCTGTCTCTCTCTTTCTCTCTCGGAGGCTTGATTCTGTTGCTGGCTCTGGGAGAAGGCTCTCTCTCTCTCTTCTTGTTCTGTGAGTTTCCCAGTGTAGACACCTAGATCCAGAATTCATATTCAACTCCAGTTCTTTCTTGGGGCTACTGAGGTTCCCCTTCTCTGCGTGTGTCTCTCCCCTTTATCTCTCATGAGGTCAGTGGTATTACAGGCCACACCTAAGGGAAGTTCCCCTTGGGTCACATCAGAACTGTAATGGGAAGGTGTTGTCATCCACCTTCTTGTAATCCTTTGCAACTGTTTGGTTTATCAGATCCTGGGAGTTTGTCATTTTATTATAACAACCATATTGCATATATATTTTAGGGCGTACACAGTTCAGTACTTGACAAAGTAGATGCGGATAGCAACCTTGATGAGGGAAGAAAGCAGGAGTGAGGGTGGTGAGAAAACATGCTGCATCTCTCCAGTTCTCAACTGTGTTCACATCATTTCACTGGGAAAGTCTTTACCAACACCAGGCACGTTGTTATTGTTGTTGATGGCCATCAAGTCGGCCACGACTCATAGCGGCCCTGTGAACAAAGAACCTGAAGATTTTCTGTAACTATTGTCGTTTTTCCAAGTTCATCAAGTTCCAGAGGTATATTGTTTAGGAGGTGGATGCCGCTCTTGCTCCCAAACCTGTCTTAAACTGGGACCTCCACTAACCACTGTTCACCATGGGTAACTGTTATGGCATTTGACACACCAGTGGCACAAAGTTCAGCATCAAAGCAACCCCAGGTTACCTCAGTACAGCAAATTGGCAGAAGAGTGCTGTACCACTTAGAAGAATGTTCCTCCAAAATATAATAACAACCGACTTTTAAATACAAAGGTCCTTCTTTTTTTTTTAATTTTTATTGTATTATTTTTATGTGTACTGTCAAATCAGATCTGACTGGTACAGGAGGAGATTGCCCCCTCCTTCTCCAGCAGAGGATCTGGTGGAATTGAACCGCGTACTTCTGGGATTGCAGTGCAGTGTCTTGCCACTAGGCCACCAGAGCTCCCTACAAAGGTCCTTCTTGAGGTCTTGTTGTCTAAACAAGAGGCTTAAATAAAAAACAACCAATATAATATGTTGTTGTTATGTGCCATCGAGTCACCTGTGTCCCATAGCAACCCTATGTACAGCAGTTCTGAACCCTTCCCAGGCCTGAGCCAGTCTCACTAATTCTGACACACCAATCCCCACTGCCCCAGTTATGGTGGCAAGCCATCTTGTCTGGGGTCTTCCTCTCGTGCATTGTCTGTCCACCCTTCCGAGCATGATGTCCTCCAAGGACTGCTCTCTCCTGGCCATGTGCCCAAAGTATGTGAAATGGAGCTTCAAAATCCTAGCCTCCAAGGAGACCCTTGGTTTCACTCTCTCCAAGACAGACCTATTTGTTTTCTTGGCAGTCCATGGTATGTTCAGGACTCTTCTCCAGCACCACAACTTGAAGACATCGATGATTCTTCTGTCATCCTTAGTCATTGTCCAGCTCTCTGAAGCATAACAAGTAATTGCAAAGACCATGCCCTATGTTAGACGCACCTTAGTATCTAGACTGACATCGTTGCTTTTCAGCACTCTGGACAGGAGATTTTCCCAATGCAGTTCATCTTTTGATTTCTTGACTGCTGGAGTTAAAGAGTGTTGATTGTGGAGCCGAGTAAACTGTAACTGCTAACAACCTCCCTTCATCAGTCTCATCTTCCATCTCTCATGGTGTTGCCAGTCAGCCCAGTAGTGAGAATCTTTGTCTTCTTGATGTTGAGCTTCAATCTATATTGAATACTATAGTCTTTGACCTTCTGCAGCAAGCACTTTAAATCTTCCTCAGTTTCAGCAAACAAGGTTGTGTCATCTGCATATTGTAGGTAGTTGATGAGCCTTCCTCCAATCTCGATGCCACATTCCTCCTCATAAAGTCCTGCTTCCTAAATGATCTGTTCTGCATACAGATTGAAAAGGTATGGGGACAGGATGCATTCCTCACGCACTCCTTTCCTATCTTTGAACCATGCTGTGTTTTCTAGCTCTGTTTAGTGAACTGCTTCCTGGTCCAAGTATAGGTTTTACATAAGCACAATCAAGTGTTCTGGGATTCCCATTTTCCTCAAGGTTAGCCACAATTTGTTGTGATCCACACTATGCATTTGCATAGTCAGTGAAACACATATGGACATTCTGGTATTCTTTGCTTTCTGCCAAGATCTATCTGACATTGGCAATAATATCTCTCTTTAGTTCCACGGCCTCTTCTAAACCCAGCTTATATTTCTGATAGTTCTCAGTCAATGTACTGTTCCAGTCATTTCTGGATAATCTTCAGAAGGATTTTGCTACTCTTTGAATCTAGTGATGTGCCGTCGAGTCGTTGTTCGATAATTTCTACACTCTGTTGGGTCACCTTTTTTTGGAATGGGAATAAATATGGATCTCTTCCAGTCAATTGGCCAGGTAGTTGCCCTCCAGGTTTCTTGGCACAACTTGGTGAGCCTACCCAGGCCAGCATCTGTTTGTTGAAATACATCAATTGGTATATCATCAATTCCTGGGGCTTTATTTTTTGCCAAGTCCTTCAGAGCAGCTTGAACTTTTTCCTGTATCACTACTGCCTCTTGATCATATGTGTTTTTTTTTTTCAATTCCTATGTGTCAGCAGTTCTTTTTGGTACGAGACTCTGTATACTCCTCCCATCAACTTTTATTTTATTTGTGTGTGTGTGTGTGTGTGTATTGTCAAATCAGATCCGACTGGTACAGGAGGACATTGCCCTGCCTTCTCCAGCAGAGCATCTGGTGGATTCTAACTGTATGCCTCTGGGATTGCAGTGCAGCTTCTTGCCACTAGGTCACCAGAGCTACCTTCCTTCCATCAACATTTTTTTTTAGATTTTATTTTATTATTTTTTGTGTGTGTACCATCAAATCTAATCTGACTGGTACAGGAGGGGATTGTCCCGCCTTCTCTAGCAGAGCATCTGGTGGATTTGAACTGCATACCTCTTGGATTGCAGTGTAGCTTCTTGCCACTAGGCCACCAGAGCTCCCTCCTTCCATCAACTTTTAATGCTTCCTGAATAACTTAGTTGTCTGCCCATAGCATCCTTAAGCATTGCACCTTGTGACTTGAATTTGTTCTTTAGTTCCTTCAGCTTAAGAAATGCTGAACAAGTTCAGCCCTTTTGATTTTCTGACTCCAGCTCCTTGCACATTTCATTATAATATTTTGTCTTATTTTCCCGAACTGCCCTTTGAACTCTTCCATTCAGCTTCTTAACTACTTGATTTCTTCCCTTTGCTTTGGCTTTTCAGCACTCTAGTGCAGTATTCAGATTCTCTCCTGACATCCATTTTGGTCTTTTTTTTCTTTTTCCTTCTTCTTAATGATTTTTTTGCATTCTTCATGAATGATATTCTTGATATCTTCCCACCACTCATCTGTCTTCGTTAATTAGTGTTCAAAGCCTCAAACCTATTCCTGAGGTAGTTTTTAAATTCATGGGGGATAAACTCAAGATCAAATTTTTATTTCTGTGGATATTATTTAACCTTCTTTAGTTTTAATTTGAAACTTAAATATGAGCAGTTGATGGTCTGTTCCACAATCAGTTCCTGGCCTAGTTTTCACTACTGATATTGAACTTCTCCAGTGATTCCTTCCATAGATTTAATCTGTCTGATTACTGTACATCGCACCAGGTGAAATTTGTGTGTAGCCTGTGCTTATGTTTCTTATAAGAGGTATTTGCTATGAATAAATTATTGATTGTACAGAATTCTATCATTCTATCCTCACCCTCATTTCTGTCGCCAAGCCCATATTTTCCAACTACTGATCCTTCTTCCTGGTTCTCAGACTTTGCATTCCAGTTACCTATTATTATTAACACATCTTGGTTACATGTTCAATCGATTTCTGACTGCAACAGTTGATAGAAAGAATTTCTTTCCTTCTCTTTGGCTCCGGTTGTTGGTGCATAAATTTGAATGATAGTGGTATTAACTGGTCTTCCTTGTATGTTGTTGTTGATTGCCGGCAAGTCAATGACAACTGTTAGTGACCCTATGAAGAAAAGACCTGAAGTCTTTCTATAAAAACTATCGTTGTTTCTCCAGATGCATAGAGTTTCCATAGGTGTGTGGTTTAGGAAGTGGATGCCACTCCTTCTTCCAAATCTGTCTTAAACTGGGAGCTCTGCCAAACACTGTCTACCATGGGCAACCGTTACGGCATTTGACACCCAAATGACACAAGGCTCAGCATCACAGCAAACCTGGGTTACCTCAGCACAGCAAATTGACATAAGAGTAGTGTTCTTCGGTCTCAGAACTGTTTGTCTTAATTGGCCATTTAAGTTTAATAGTAAAAGACTGGTTAATGATAACAGTGCATCGTAAAACCTTCAGAAGGAAAGGAATGTTTTGTGGACCATTTGTTTTCTTTTTCGTGTGGCAGTTTTAAGTTATTAGTTTTTAAAATCAGTACTTTTTAAATGGAAACAACTTGACCAAAAATTTGTCACAGAATTTTGAGACCCATTAAAACAAGTTTAATGAGAAAGAAAAAAAAAGAGTAGTGTTCTTCCAAAATATTACACTATAACGCTTATGCTTTGGTGAGGGCCAGTGGGAATGTTTGATTATGAAAGACTGTGGAATGAAGGTCCTTATGGAGTGCCTTGCTTTTTAAATTCTATTGGAGATTAAGGAAGCAGCTAAATGCTCTAAGATGGGTGTGTTTGCTTTGTTCCATTAATTTTCACATTCCAGTGGATCACCTTTGAAATGAGCGCAAATAGTATCTTAAAGTGCTTAAGTGATTCCTCCAGTCACTTGGCCAGATAGGCTATCTTCCAAATTTCTTAGCACAGACTAATAAGCATGTCCATAACCACATCTGTTTGTTGAAATATACATATAATGCCTAATAATATATTCCTTTTAAAGAGTTCTTTTCTCCATCTGGTGCACTGCAGTGTTCATTATTTATCCACTTGTTTCCTGTTCTCCCAGCCCTTCATGTCAGTCCTGCTTTATAATAGTGGTGTTGTGCAGTATTATCCTTTTGTGACTGAGATATTTAATTCAGCCTAATGTCCTCCAGGATCATCCATGTGTGTAATGTTTTACAAGTTCATTGTTTTTCAGTGCTGTGTAGTATTCCATTGTGTCAATATATCACATCTCCTCTATCCACTCATGTGTTGATGGGCACGTGGGTTGCTTCCATCTCTTTGCTATTGTGAATAGCACAGCAATAGACGTGGATAGGCATACATCTATTTGGGTGGCAGTTCTGATTTGTTTAGGGTATTTTCCCAGTAGTGGAATTGCTGGGTCAAATGGTATTTCTATTTCCAACCTTTTTTTTTTTTTAATTTTTTATTGAGATTTTAGTAAAAGTTTATAGAGAATTTGGAATTCCATTCATTCATTGTTGCATATTTTCCTCCTTACCCTCCCCCGGTTCACTTTAAAAAAAAATATTGTTTCATTGTTGCACAATTTCCCTCTTCCCCCACCCCAGTCCACTTCGCTATGCCAATTTCCAATTTTTTCAGGAAGCACCAGACTACCTTCCATAGTGGTTACACCAAGAAGTCTGGATTTCATAAAAGAATTGTCACTGTTTTGGAGTTTTACAAATGTAGAAACCATATCTACTCATTATATATGTATCACCTAGCAGGTGCCTTAGCACATTGCTGGTAATAAAAACCAGGTTTTGAAACCTTCAGTTGGCTAGGTAAGGTTTAACTTGACCATGATAACTCCATGTATAAACATAATTCTTAGTTACTAAGTAGGCACATCAGCATTATATTTATTGCCTTACATGATGATCATTTGAACTTTTGAAGTACTTTCTTTGCTAATTTTGAAATTTGGTCTCTTAAACAATTGTGATACTAACAAATAGTATACCACTTTTTCTTTTTAATCAAGGAGAATAAACCTAACGCCCTTAAAGACAGATACACCACCAAATTCTGTACCACTGGAAACTACCAGTACAATTAACACCCCTTCCACGGAAGAAATCCAGTCAGGTAAGTGATAACTTTACTTGTTAGAGTATCTTCACTTTTATTCTTTTGGAAATTGATATCCCTTGATTTCAAGTGTGTCCTGATGCATCCTGTAAGGACCATGATTACGATTCAGCTGCTGTTTATTTATATCTCAGCAGAGAGGTTCTCCTATCAGCAAACTAATCTGTCTGATAGTAGGTACCAGAGATGTAAGATCAGAGTTTTTCAGCCTTTTCAGTGGTAATGTTTATACTTGGTTGTGGTGGCTGCCCTGTGCATTATAGATGTTTAGCAGCATCCCTGGTCTCTTCCTGCTAAGTGCCAGTACCACCCTTTCCAAGTCTTAACAGCAAAAATGTCTCCATACGTTCCCCTTGAGTCAGCATAGGTCCTTGCCACGCAGTTTGGTTCCTTAGCTTTCCACTAAATTTGTTTGGTAAATTTCTGTTTCTAATTTAAGGAAGCCTTTTTTTACTAGTAAACTTTCTGCTTCTGCATGTTTCAGAGGTTCCTGGGGACCCTCAATGCTGTCAGCCAGCACCGAAACATCTCAGACTTGGTGACAGCTGCACGAGCACCCAGAGTGTGGACCCATGAGGAGGCTTCTGCTGCCCCGTCGGGAACCCCTCCCTCCCTGCACACAGAAGGGCTGGGCTGCAGACCTGGCACAGAAGCACACATGGTGAACACTTGTCAGTAATTTCTGTCACAGGAAATACACATGTGCTCATTTTTTCCATCCAGAAAGATGTTTGCTGTTGTATTCAGTATATATTTTTATAGTGTGGTAAAAAGATATATAACGGAATGTATCAATTCAGTAATCTTTACACATACAGTTTGGTGACACTGAAAATGTTCATTATGTCATGCAGCCACCCCACTATCTGTTTTCAGCTTTTCCATCACTTCAGAAGATGCCATTGCCCCTAAGCAGGGAGTCTCCTTTTCCTTGTCACCCAGGAGGCCACCAATGAGCTTCGGTCTCTGTACATGTGTCTGTGTCGTGTAAGGGAGATCATGCACTTACCTTTTTATGATTAGCTTGCTTCGTTTGGCATCATGTTTTCCAGGCCCATTCGTGCTGTAGCCTTTGCCGGGACTTAGGTCTTTTTCTGGCTGAGAATGCCACTCTATGGCCTCTATGTGTCTTGTTTTATCAATTGACCTGTTAATGGATGTTGAGATTATTTTCTTGCTATGGCTAATAATGTAGCAGTGAACATTGGTGCTATACATGTTTAACCAGGAGATGTGATCATGTTAATAGTTTAAGCTGCCTTTTCAATGAACTTCTTAAGCCAGCGTCTCCCTGTTATCTGGTGTGACACCAGCGAGTTCTCTACTGAGGTGCTTCTGTGGACACTTGATGAGTGAATTCCTTCTAGGGGTGGAATCAGAAAGAGGAGAAACTAAGGTATATTCTGTTGAAGTCTAGAATGTTAGAAGTGATTATCAGATCTAGCTTTTAACTAGTTGATTCATTTTTGGAAGTTATGTTTATTTTCTGAATCTCATTCTAGAAAATCAGTGAACTATAATGAATTTAAAAATGAGCTGGAAGATGAAAAAAATCACTCAACACTAACCCTGGTTAATCCTTTCCTTCTTACCATCTTTCATTTCTGAGAGAAAATTGGGATTTTACTTGAGATAGAATTTGGTATTCCAGAGGTTAACTTTTTTGGTTTTTCAAAGCAGAAAAAAAAGTAACTTTACACAGCAGTGTACTGCTGCCTTTACTTTCTCAGAATGCTGGGATGTATTATGTTCCCCTTTTCTGTTAAGAGTGAGAAGAGGAGTTGAGTAAGGAGCACACAGTGTTGTCGATGGCCCAGTGAGGCAGCCAAACCCACGTGGGAGTTTCTCTGAGCCTGATCAGGTATCTCTGGTGAAACGCTGTGCTTTGTTGAAGCTGGATTTGACCTACAAGTAGGTGCTGGTCACAGTCACAAGGAAAAGAATAATAAATACCAGTCAGTATCTGTTTTGAACATTGGTTAACAAGCATGGCTGTTTACCAGTAGGTTGGAGGTTCAAGTTCACCTAGAGGTGGTTAGGAAGGAACCTAGCGGTGTGTTTCAGGAAAACCAGCTGCTGAAGACATTAGGTCTGAAGCACAGGTCTGCTGTAATGGTGTAGGGTTTCGGAGTCAGAGCTGATGTCTTGGCAGCCAGGACCCTGTGCAAACAGACAGTGGCCGAGTCTGGGCCAGCATCCTGCCCTCACCCAGAGCCAGACATCAAGGAGGGTGTGTGGTGTCAGGTCAGAAATCCACAAGGCAATCGCTTCTCGGCCTTTTGGCTAAGATCAAGTGTAGAAATCCACAAGGCAGACATTTCCCCTAATACATATCGCACACTGTTGCAGTGAACACTTGGTTTCTGTCAAGTTGCTTTCCAGGCAGAACTTGCTTAAACGGATTTCTTAAGCATTCGCTTTGCATTAGCTTCCCACCTCTTGGAAGGGCCACTTCCTCTAGATCTCAGCACATGGTGAGTCACTGATGCAGTGAGCATCCTGTGTCCTGCAGTGAGACCTACCCCCAGGGCTCTCTCCTGAGTCTCTACCACCTGCAGATTTGAAGCAAAAGGGTGGAGGTTAACTCCAGCTCTCCCAGTTACGTCCCTGACCTGATAGAGGTGAGGAGTGGAAGGAGGCTCTGTTGAACTCAGGTCAGTGGCAACAGGGAATGCCATTTGAAAGAAGCAGTAGTTCTCACTTAGGAGTTTTCTCTAGAGCCCCCAAAAGAACCTCCTGCCAGGACAGGACTCAAACTTGTACCCACAGAGGTTACACATGTGCGCCTTCCATAATCAATGATGTCCACTGGTCCAGAAGCCTTTTTGATGAAATCCAACCCCATTATCAGAGCTCTGCCTAAACTGGGATTTGTGTAGCCAAAGCATTTGCTGCCACCCACTGATTCTCCCTTTTGAAGCCTTCCTTTCTGTAATAAACTGTCGACTAAAAGACAGTGCCTTGTGTCATTCTTGATTAAACTTGTCAAGAACTCTAAAATCAGGTGCCTCTAAAAACCCCGGTGAAGGAACAATGTTTGGTCTCACAAAGCTGCCTCAGACACAGTGATGTAGGGTGTACTTCAGCCTAAAATGTGCACATGTGGAATGTCTGACTCACATCCAGTCAGAACCAACTCACAGCTGACTCTCCAGCAGTTTTTTGGAGGCTGTATATCGCACAAGAGGAGATTGCCCTCTTCCTTGGAGTGACCAGAGGATTTGAACCACCAGAGAGCCACAACCTTTGTGTTAGCAGCACAATTCCTTACAGGCTAGGCCACCACTGCTCCCTGACAGTTAGTTGTCACTTTGCAACAGAATTATCAATGACATTTTTGAAACAATGTTACTTCAGGGTAATTATCACAAGCCACCTCTTTATATAGGGTATGGTTATGGAGAAAGTCTTCATAAGGAAAGAAGGCCTGGTGATGTAGTGGTTTGCAGCTGTAAACTGAAAGGTTGAAGGTTTCAATCCACCAGTGCCTCTGAGAGAGAAAGATGGACAACCTCAACTCATAAAGATTTACAGCCTTAGAACACCTGTGGAGGTGTCACTACAAAGCTGCAGTGCTGCCTACTCCCGGGGAAAACCAACCTTGGGGTCAGGATTGCAGCAGGAAAAGCGAGGGTTTTTAAAATACCAGATGCAGGTCATGGTCTTTGCAATTACTTGCTATGCATCAGAGAGCTGGACAGTGACTAAAGATGACAAAGGAAGAATCAATGCCTTTGAGTTGTGCTGAAGAAGAGTCTTGAACCTCCAAGAGAACAAACAGGTCTGTCTGTCTTGGAGAGGGTGAGACCAAGTTTCTTCTTGGAGGAAAAGGTTTTGAAGCTCCATCTCATACACTTCGGACATGTGGCCAGGAGGGACCAGTCCTTGGGTAAGGACATCATGCTCGGAGGGTGGAGGGACAGTGCAGGAGAGGAAGACCCTGGATGAGATGGATTGAAACAGTAACTGGGGTAATGGGGTTAAGGATGTCAGGGTCAGACTGGCTCAGGACAGGGCAGGCTTCAGAGCAGTTGTACAAAGGGTTGCTATGAGTTGTAGACAACTTGGTGAAACACAAGAACAAACACAGAAACTGGTATGGACTTCCCATATCTGTCTCTCAAGGAAGTGAGATTTAGGAAGTGATAGATTTGTAATTAGGTAGGTAATAGTAGGTTAGGTTAGGGATGTAGGACAGGGCTCAAATTTATCACTTTTCGAAGGATTAGCTTAGAAATTGTTATGTACCATAGTGTCAGAACCAACTCATAGCTGATCCTCCAGTGGGTTTTTCAGAGGTTGTAAATTGTAGTGAAAAGATTGCCCATCTTTCTGTCTTGGGTCAACTGTAGATTGTAACTGTATGCTTTTGAGTTGGCCATGCAACCCCTTACCACTAAGCCACCAGAGCTCCGTTGTTCTTTGGGTAGCTATGAGTCTCAGTTAACTCCTTGGGCACACAACAGCAACCATAGAAAAGGAGAGATTATGCAAATCAGGAGGTCCTTGCACTTGACCTTAAGATGAAGTCTTATCTGGTTGGGTGATTAGTCATTGCAGATATACCTTATAGCCTTCCTCCTCATGACTGCTTTCTGTCGTGTGGTGTTGTGGAGTACAACTCACAGCAACTCCGTGAACAACAGATCTGAACCCTCTCCTGTTCTGTGCCATCCTCACAATCCCGGATACATTCAGGCTCATTGCTGCAGTCACTGTCAATCCATCTGGTTGAGGGTTATCTTCACTTTTGCCATCCCTCCATCTTTCTAATCATGATGTCACTCTCCAAAGAATAGCTTTTTCTAGTAACATGCCTAGAGTATGCAAGATGAAGCTTTATCATCTGAACCTCTAAGGAGGAAGCTGCACTTTCTGCAAGACATAATCTGTTTGTTCTTTGGCATTCCATGGGATATTCAGTACTCTTCTCCAACACCACAACTCAGAGACATCAATACTGCTTTCATGCTTATTTGTGGTCCATCTCCCAGCAGCATAGCAAGTAAGAGAAACAACATGGCCTGAATCAGGTGTGCCTCAGTCCTCAAAATGACATAATTTTTCCTCAATAATTTGGAGAGGTCCTGACTGAAAACTCTCCCAGTGCAATATGTCTCCAAATCTCCTGACTGCTGGTACCAAGTGTACTGATTGTAGATCCAAATGAGATAAAGTTGTTGACAATTTCAATATTTTCTCCATTTATCATGATGTCTATTGGTCCAGTGGTGTGAACTTTTGTTTTTCTGATGTTGTGATTCAGTCCATATTGAAGGCTGTAGTCTTTTCTTTTCTACTGTAAATGCTACAACAAGCTGTGTCATCACCTCTCAAGAAGATCTAAAAACTGCTCTTCGAAAGGTTTAAAAGCAGTCATGTTTATCTCTGCGTACACATGATACCTGAAAGCCTGTTCAGACAATTCAAAACAGGAATTGCATTGTGTTGTTATATGACATCAAGTTGATTACAACTCCTAACAATCTTGTGAAATGATCTGAACCTTGTCCTATCCTACAGCACCCTCAGAATCACAGATGTACTCCAGCCCATTTATGGAATTTGTCTTTCAA